CTGCTGCGTCTGTCTCTCCCCCTCATGGGACAAATAAATAAGCTTTAAAAGGAGAAAGCACCCACGGGAAATATTCACACCCCAGTCCTCTCTTCTCAACTTCTCCCTCCTTTCAAGATTTGGGTACACTGGCACCCAGGCTGTTTTTCAAACATTGAGTCGAAGACTCAAACCACAGGGCCAGCCCTGTGGGATCCAGCTCATGTAACCACCAGGCCACGGGGTGGCCCCACCAAGTGCTTTCTTGAAGACTCCTAAGATTTGTTATACCAGTACTTCTTATATTATTTAGTCTCAGCCACTCAGGCGTTTAAAAAAAATTATTACACACTCCCTAGGTGCCAGAGTCACGTAACGCCAATTTTCAGATTTCTTCAACTCCCTTTTCATCATTTTCAAACAAGGAACAAACAACCCCAACCTCTGCGCTATTCTCGCAACCAGGTCCTTCTTTCTTCCCCTTCCGGCCACACCCCGGAAGTTATCCTGGCTCGCCCTTCGATTCGCCGGAAGCACTCTTAAGAAGCACCCGCGCAGTTTCCTTCGGGGACCTGGCGGGGCGCTCTGGGAAGTAGCCCGGCCCTCAGTTTATTTTCGGCGCCAGAGCTCCATTACCTTTCCGAGGGCCCTCCGAAGTGTCGCGCCTCCGGGATTCCGGGTGCCCAGCAGCCGCAGCTCGCCGCCTTTTTGAATAGGTTTTTGCTATAGGGCACGTGTGCTTGTCAGAAAGATGGAGACAGAGAGAAAGTGAGAAATCACCTCCCCTAGGGGAGATGGCCATGCTGCAATCTCTTCTCCTCCATTCTACTCTTGGGATCTTGGGCATGCACAAACATGTGCCCGGTTTGAGTTAAGTCACCGGGTCTGGGACTCAAACCGTGGTTGACTATATCGGAGTCAAGTGACATTAAACCAACTGCTGGTCCCTAAAAACAATTTTTTTAAAATAAGGGACCAGTAGATGGTATAATGATTACGTTGCTAGACTCCCACAACCACGGTTCGAGTCCTGGGCCCAGTGGCTTAAAACTCATTCTGGGCGCATGTGCATGCATGCCCAGAATTCTGAGAGGAGAATGGAAGAGAAAGAATTGCACCATGGCCATCCCCACAGTGGGCAGTGGGAGGGTGGTGGGGGGGTTTGATTTCTTGCTTCTGTCTCTCTGTCTCTCTCTGTCTCTCCAGCAGAGATGCACCCTATAGTAAAAATCTCTTTAAAAAATAAATAAAACTTAAAAATTAAGTGGCTTGTGGTTAAAGCGGCTGGATCCCACTTTGACCTAACACACGGTTAAAATCTTGGTCCTGGCAGCTTGAAAACACACAGGTGCTTGTACGTGCTTGTCAAAAATCCTGACAAGTGGAAAAACAGAGAAGAGATTAAAGCATGACCATGCCCTTTTGGGGGCTGCTTGCTCCCTCTCCCTCTTCCTCTCTCTCTCTGGAGAGTGCACACACCCTCCGACAAATTACAAAAAAAAAGAATTTTAATAACATTTATGGGGGGGCAGGTAATATGGTGGTTAAGGTACTGGATCCCACATATCTGGCTGTGTGGTTCAAAAGATGTCAAGCTCATCTGTGTGCATGCCCAAAATTACAGGAGGAGAATGGAGAAGGGATTGCTGTGTGGCCACCCCCCCCCAGGGGTTATTTCTCACTTTCTTCTTTTTTTTTAAGAATTATTTTTATGGTTGGGGTTGCTGAGGAGATGTCTGGACGTGTTGGTTTGGTGAGTGGCCTGCACTTCCAGAGGCTGCATGTCAGAAACCATGGCGGAGGGAGATAGTTGTGGCACCAACCTGCTGGCTGCAAAGACCGCAAGTCTGGAAGAGCAGCTGCAAGGATGGGGAGAAGTGGTGCTGATGGCCGGTAAAGTCCTCCGATGGGAAAGAGCTTGGTTTCCACCTGCCATCATGGGTGTGGTTTCTTCGATGTTTCTGATCTTCTATCTATTTCCATCTGTTCTGTTCTGTGTTTCCTGTTTTGTTATGTTTTTGTGCTTGGCTGACTACCTGGTTCCCATTCTAGCACCTAGAATTTTTGGCTCTAATAAATGGACCACAGAATAGCAGCAAAGATTCCATGAAGTCTGCAGCAATCTAGTAAAAACTTGACGCAAAGCTGTGGGCTGGTGGATATGTCTCTTTACACTAAAGGAAAAAAAACCTAAAACGTACTTCATGACCATGATTGCTTCTCTTGCTGCGGTGGCTTGGGTGGGATAGCAAGTCCACAACCTCCTTCTCACCTACCTGATAGAGACCAAGTTTATCCCATCTGATAAAGCGACCAGTGAAGATTCATTCCTCGTTTCTGTTTCTTGACCATGGGAGAATCCTCATGGAATAAAGTGAAACAAATTCCATGCCCTGGTATGTAGAATTTATTTCTCCCTTGTGTGGAATTTAACAATTCATAGTAAACATTGATTCTTTCTCCCAAATGGGGAATCTGATAGGCTTATAGAGCTCTTGCCTCCTTGGATTTAGACTTCAAATTAGTTCATCCTTACAGGCTTACAAAAGATTATATTTAGGATTTTTAGCATATTTTAAATTTCAGGTTCTCAGCTGACTTTAAAATACATAACAGGCTAAGACTTGTCCATGACCTTTACTTCAGCACGAGCCAGTAAAGGCCAAAAATCTTCCTGTGTTTAGTCAAGATTCATTTCAGTAGAAAATAAGCTTAGGGCCAGCCCCATGAACTTATCCTACTAATTTCTGAGACCAGAATAAGCCTTTAAACGTAAGCCTCACAATTGTCATTTTATGGCCATACTGGCTGTTTTGGTCCTCATACTTTGGGTATAGGAAATAGTGACTACACAGGTGTCTGACTTTTCCCCTAGATTTTTCTCCGAAAATTCCAAGGGCTGTTGGCGAGAGCAGATTTGTAGATGACAGTTGGGCTCTGATCTATGTCGATTTTGTAACCCTTTGGAAAGCTTATCATTCTTTCCCTCTCAGTAGCTAGAAATTTACAGTAGTTGAAATCTGTAGGAATGAACCTCTGAGGGCCAAAAAAATGTGACTTATTTGGGAACAATTCTTAAACTTATGAACTAACTGTAATACAGTTTTGGGAATTTACTGCACTGATACTGTAAAACCTGTACCTTGTGGTATATCTGTCCCTCAAGTGTTATTTTCTCCCCTTCAATACTGTTGTAAGTGGTGGCACCCATTGTAGTGTGTGATTTCTTTTCATGTTTCATAGGAAAACTACCTTAATTTGGCATGTTTCCTCATTGTAAATTAGCCTGTCTTCGTAACTAGATTTTTTGTGTGTGTGAATACATGTTCTATTGATTTAACTACTTTTGCCATTTTAATCCTGTGTTAGTTCTTCTACATTTTTTTGTGTAAGAGGAAAAATTTTTAAAAAGCTGGAATCTCTAAAAGAAAGAATTATTTTACTTAATGTTATTTATTTTATTTTGACCAGAGACAGACAGAGTGAAAAAGAGAAAGAGAGAAAGCAAGCCTTTCTCCAAGATTCAAACCACAGCCAGCCATGTGGGAGTTTAGTGCCCTTAACCACCATGCCACCTGTCAGCCTGCAATTTCTCACTTGCTATCTCTGTCTCTCTCCAGTGAGCACATGCACCATATGGTAAAAACACAAAACTAAATAAAATAATAACTTTATGGAGATGATAAAGCTATTGGGAATGTAAAGAAAGGTTAAATATGGGCTGGCTCCAGGGCCTGGTGGTTAAGGTAACCGGGTCCTAAATGGCCAGACCCAGTAGCTTATCCCAGATCCCAACAGGATGGACAGATTGGAGAAAAAGGATTGCAATGTGACCATTACCCATGGGCAGGGGGCTGTGGGGAAATGTGCTTTCTCCCTCTCTGGCAAACTCGAGCACCCTCCCTTCACAAACTTTTTTAAAATGGTAAATCATCACATTCATATCTAGGAAGATGCATTCTGATAGAAGTATAATTTCTTCTCAAATCTATAAATTCGATTCTATGCCAGTCTAATAATAGCAAGGTTTTTAAATAAAACCTTAGCAGTTGATGCTAAAACATAAGACATGCCATTAAAGCAGCACTAAAACACGACACTGAGACTGACCCACATGGGAAGATTCACAGTTCACGTCGGGAGGCCACCCTGAGCAAACCAGGAACGCGTGTGCCCATGATCACGGGCTGGCTGAGGTCGCGGGTACATCACGGTGTTAAGAAACTGCTGGGTCTGCTGCGTCTGTCTCTCCCCCTCATGGGACAAATAAATAAGCTTTAAAAGGAGAAAGCACCCACGGGAAATATTCACACCCCAGTCCTCTCTTCTCAACTTCTCCCTCCTTTCAAGATTTGGGTACACTGGCACCCAGGCTGTTTTTCAAACATTGAGTCGAAGACTCAAACCACAGGGCCAGCCCTGTGGGATCCAGCTCATGTAACCACCAGGCCACGGGGTGGCCCCACCAAGTGCTTTCTTGAAGACTCCTAAGATTTGTTATACCAGTACTTCTTATATTATTTAGTCTCAGCCACTCAGGCGTTTAAAAAAAATTATTACACACTCCCTAGGTGCCAGAGTCACGTAACGCCAATTTTCAGATTTCTTCAACTCCCTTTTCATCATTTTCAAACAAGGAACAAACAACCCCAACCTCTGCGCTATTCTCGCAACCAGGTCCTTCTTTCTTCCACTTCCGGCCACACCCCGGAAGTTATCCTGGCTCGCCCTTCGATTCGCCGGAAGCACTCTTAAGAAGCACCCGCGCAGTTTCCTTCGGGGACCTGGCGGGGCGCTCTGGGAAGTAGCCCGGCCCTCAGTTTATTTTCGGCGCCAGAGCTCCATTACCTTTCCGAGGGCCCTCCGAAGTGTCGCGCCTCCGGGATTCCGGGTGCCCAGCAGCCGCTGCTTCCTGCCTGGGTTTTGGGTTTGTACAGAGGTCCCTCGGCCGCTCGCCGACGCCGCCAGTATGTCTGGGGTGCGAGCCGGGCGCATCAGCATTGAGTACGCCCCGGCGCCCCCCGCCCACCCCGCCAGTATGTCTGGGGTGCGCGCCGTGCGAATCAGCATCGAGTCAGCCTGCGAGAAGCAGGTCCAGGAGGTGGGCCTCGATGGCACCGAGACGTACCTGCAGCCGCTGTCCATGTCGCAGAATCTGGCGCGCCTGGCCCAGCGGATCGACTTCAGCCAGGGCTCGGGCTCTGAGGAGGAGGAGGCGGCGGGCGCCGAGGGCGATGCGCAGGACTGGGCGGGCGCGGGGTCCAGCGCGGACCAGGACGACGAGGAGGGTGAGACCCTTGTCTGCTGCTGGCGTCCCCTGGGCGGGGGTCCCAGGACTGGCTGGGTAAAGCTGCTGTCCCTCCCGCTTGGATGAGAGCCTGCGCGGGAGTTCTTCGAAAGTATTGCTCGCAGGGAGTAGTTATGCTCCCCGTGGTCTCTTTTTGTACAGCCGAACAGTTTAGGACACGCCTTAACTGTTAATACTCTGTATCTTTGTGAGAGTCTCGAGAGGGAGCATTTGAAACACTGTCGCTGATGGAGGGGGGGAGCTAAATGATTAGGTTTGTAAAAGCTTGTAGTATAGCGCTGCATTGTAGCGCACCAAATGGTTAAGAACGCTCTAGTTTATTCCTCAGCTTAGCTGTGTGACCTGGGGACGAGTTACCTAGTTTTCCTCCTCAAGTGGATTATGATAGTAGCAGCTACTGAAAAGAGATTTGTATTGACCGGAATAGGAGAGGTCCAAGAAGTAGGAAGGGGCCAGGTCATGCAGAGCCGGGTAGGCCAAGATAAGCTTTCATTAGAAGGACAATCAAAAGCTTCTGGAGGATTATAAATAGAGACAGATATGATCTTTGAAAAAGATTATTCTGGGTGCTTGTAGTGTGTGAATTATAGAGAAAGCAAAACGAAGGGGGTAGCTTAGAAGAAAATTAAAGAAGCAACATGAGCAAGATTGGGATTCACACTGTCAGAGATTTTTTTAAATCGCATTTCTTGATTCAGTCATGCCATACACCTACTATATATAAATGGGAATTTAAAGATGGCATTTCAGAGGCCAGCAGTTGGCATAATGGCTGTGTCACTGGACTCCCGCGTAGTCGACCGTGTTTCAAGTCCTGGCCCGGGTGGCTTAAACTCACATGGGGCGCGTGTGTGTGCATGCCCAAGATCCCGGGAGGAGAAGGGATTGTGACGTGGCCATATCACCCTGGGGGGGGGGGGTATTTCTTTCTCTTTGTCTTTCTGGCGAGTGCACGTGCCCTATAGCAAAATCTCTCCAAAAAAAAAAATAAATAAATAAAGATGGCATTTCAGGTTAATGGTGTTGCGCTTAGGAATCATTTTGGGGGAAAATGCAAATACAGCTTCATATCGCACACACAGTTCTTTTCCCACAAAGATTGAAGTACTAAATGAAGAAAACAAAGCATTATAGAATAATATTAGAATAGCTGTATAAATTTGGGAGTAGGAGAGACCCTGTTAGAAGCACAGCTAGAGTAAAGGAAAAGATATATTAATTACATAAAATGTAAACATAAAAATGGAAAAACAAATGCCATAAAGTAAGAAAGTAAATGTCAGGCCCAGCCCCAGTGGTGCGCTTTTCAGGCTCTGTCCGGGACCACATAAGGAGCCCTTGTTTGAGTCCAGATCCAGCCTAACGGCTGAGGGAGACTACACACCCCGGTAATCCTAGTGGCTTGGGGAGGCTGAGGCAGGAGGACTTCAGTTCCAGGCTGGCCTGGGCAACACAGTGAGACCCAGTCTAAAAAAGAAATAGGAGTGATTGTGTGCACTTATGTTCCCAACTGGGAGGCTGAGGCAAGAGGATCGTGACACAGCGGGAAGCTGTCTTTTAAAAAAAAGATAGGGCCAGCTGGTGGTATGGTGGTTAAGGCACCTAGATCCCACTTTGCTGACTTCGTGGTTCAAGTCCTGGATCTAGCAGCTTCAAAATCACACATGGAACTTACACGTGTGTACCCAAGATCCTGACAGAGGGAGAATAGAAGGGATTGTCACATGACTGTGCCCTATGGGGTCTGGTTTCTTCTTCTGTGAATGTCTGTGTCTTTCCCTCACGGCAGTGCATGTCTCTGTGGCCCAAAACAAACAAACAAACAAAGTATGTATCTATCTGTCTATATATGTGTTGATGTGTGTGTGTATATATATATATATATACATGTATATATATATATACACGTGAATGATTTAAAGTAGAGATAAAAATACGAAGTAGGTGGAGATAGATGAAGATGAATAGATGACAGAAAATTGGTATTTCTAATAGTCGGTGAGTCCCTTCAGACTAAAAAGAAAAACATGACCGATTGGAAAAGCAGGCCAAAGATAGAAAAAAATATCACCCTTCTTTTTTATTATTTGCCAGAGGGTACGTGCACTCCCAGAGAGAAAAGAAGAAAGCACCCAGCCCCATCCACTGGGGACGTGGTCATGCTGCAATTCCTTCCCCATTCTCTGTACTGTTGTGGTTCTGGGCACACATGTGTTTCCAGCATGGTTTTGTTTTCTTTTTCTTTTTTGTTTTTTAATTTTATTTATCATTATTATTATTTTAATTTGCTGCAAGACATGTGGGCTCTCCAGAGAGAGAAAATGAGAAAGCGCGCCACGAGGCCTGGGACTCAGACCACAGTTGGCCATGTGGGCGTCCAGCGCCTTAACACCGTGCCACCTGCTGGCCCCTCCAGCATATGTTTCAAGCCACTGGTGCTGAGATTTGAGCCACTCAGTCAACCATGTGGTATCCAGCTCTCTCAGCTACTAGGACATGGTGCTGGCACAACAGTCAGCTATTAGAGGAGAATTTAGAGTCAAATTAAAACATCAGTAAGAGGAACCAGCAGATGGTGTGGTAGTTAAGGCACTGGACTCCTACATGGCTTGCCATGGTTTGAGCCCCAGATCCAGTGACTTGAAAATCATGCTGGGCAAGTGTGCAAACACACCCAATATCCCAAGAGGAGGGTAGAGAAGGGATTGCAACATAGTCATCCCTGCAGGGAGTGACCTCTCCTCTGATTGTGTGCATCCTATGGCAACAGCCTAAAAACAAAAGAAGAAAGTTTATATATCTACACAGGTATGTTTTCAAGATACTTATGCTGTTAGGTGTTTTTTTTTTTAAAACTTTTTTTAATTTCATTTTCTCTTTGACATTCAATCACATTATTTAGCTTACAAACTGAATGTTTCAACTTGTGAATATGCTGTTAGTTTTATTGGAAGCAATCTACATATACATTTCATAGCAATGATTACCTGTACAGCACATCCATGTTCTGGACTGTTTGAAAAGAGTGAAGTAGGTTTCCCCACTTAACCTGTATCGGATGTCTGCACGCTGTAGCAGAAACTAAAGGCCTCAATGGCACCGAAGTGGAGAGGGCAATGGCAGGTACCAGAAACTGTGGTGGGGGAGAGAATTCTCTGTCTCTTCTCTCTTCCAACAAGCACACACCCAAAGGCAAAAGCCTGGGGTGGGTAGGGGAGAGTGAAGTAGATTTATGTGCACTGATGTAAAGGTGTCTGGAGGACATAGTAACTGAGGGGGAAGCAAGTGGTAGGACACGGGAGTATATGCATGTATAGGCATAGGAGAAGCTTGAAGAGGGTGCATCCCAACTGTAAATAGGGCTTCCCTCTCAGGGGGGCAGGTGGGGTGGGAGGAGGCCCTGAAGGAAAATGGTCACTGTTCCCTAATTCTCTATCATTTTTGAAAGAGGCAGGTATGCTAATAGTGGCTAAATAGTTCTGGTGTTATATCTGTTTTTGCACTTTTCTGTGTTTTGGAAATTCTCTACAATTATTTACTCAAGTTCTAAAAGCTGAAAGACAAAATGTACTTTAAAAGGCTTATCTAAATTTAAAAAGATGGAAGGGAATGAAAGAGGGAGCAATTTGAAATGAAATTTTCTTATTTTTCCTTTTAGTACACTTTTTTGTTAAAGATTTCTTAAAATTTTATTGATTCATTCATTTATTTTTCATTTCACCAGACACACACACACACACACACACACACACAGGGGTGAGGGGCAGTGAGAAAGCAAGCCACCGGGTCCAGGACTTGAACCGTGGTTGGCCTTGTGGAAGTGTTCAGCACCTTAACCACTATACCACCTGCTGGTCCCCTCCTTTTAGTACCTTTAACCTCTTAATTCACTTTCTATTATGTATTCAATGTAACTAATTCTTCTGTAATTTTTTGTTTTCTCTCTAGGGTTGGTAAAATTTCAGCCCTCTCTCTGGCCTTGGGACTCGGTGAGGAACAACCTGAGAAGTGCCCTGACGGAGATGTGTGTTCTCTATGATGTTCTCAGTATCGTTAGGGATAAAAAGTTTATGACTCTCGATCCTGTCTCTCAAGATGCACTTCCTCCAAAACAGGTACCTGTAGGTTTTAATTGAATAACAGCATTTTATTAAGATCCGGCCTTGCTTTTTGTCTGTGTGTCCATTGTTGCCCTTTTTTTTTTTTTTTTTGGAGAGGTTTTTGCTATAGGGCGCGTGCGCTCGCCAGACAGACAGAGAGAGACGTAGAGACAGAAAGCGAGAGATCACCCCCCAGGGGGGATGGTGACGCCGCAATCCCTTCTCCTCCATTCTCCTCTCAGGATCTTGGGCACGCACGCACACGCGCCCAGTGTGAGTTTTAAGCCACCGGGTCCGGGACGTGAACCGCGGTAGACTACATGGGAGTCCAGCGACAGCCATTATGCTAACTGCTGGTTCCCCATTGTTGCTTTTTTCTTTCTTGCAAAATTAAGTTTAGATGAAGATTTAAAACTAACTAGTTTAGGGACAGCAGTTGGCGTGGTGGTAAAGATGGTGGGCTCCCACGTGTCTGACTTGTGAGTCCCAGACCTGGTGGCCTACTTTCTCACTTTTCCTTTCTCCTCCTCTCTCTCTCTCTTGTAAGAGCATGTGCCCTATAGCAAATTATAAAACAAAAGAAATAAATAATAACATTAAATAATTTAAAACTATGTATACTAACTAGTTTAAAAGAAAGGCATAAAGCTGCCTAGTAGTTAAGGGAGGTATATCCCACATGGCTGATCACGTGGTTTGAATCCTAGCCCTGGTGGCTTGAAAAACGTGCCAGGTGCATGTGCATACATGCCCAAAATCCTGGCATGATGGAGAAATGGAGCAGAAGGGATGGCATTGCAGCTATGGGTAGTGCTTTCTCTCTGTCACTCCATTTCTCTATCTCTCTATCTCTCTCTGGTGAGTGTACACACCCTCTGTCAATTAAAAAATATGTATGGTATATGCCTGTGACCTTTGGAAGAGTTAAATTTTAATAATAACGCAATACTTTAAAGAGTCCCTAATCTTCACAAATTCTGAAAGCCTGGGTCCTTGGTCTGTGATATATTACACAAAACTGTGATGATAAAATGGCTTTGTAGTCAGATGCTCCTGGGTTCAAGTCCTGCCTCAGCTCTCACTAGCTATATGACCTCAAACAAGTTTTCTTTCTGAGTCTCATTTTTCTTCTCTAATTCTCTCCTTTTTTGAGGGAGAGAATCCTAACACCACACTATCTGCCACCCCTATTTTTATTTTTTAAGTAGGGAAGCACCCCCAGGGGGAATGGCCATGCCACATTCCCTTCTCCGTTTCTCCTCCTTTCAGGAACGTGGGTATGCCTGGCATATTTTTCCAGTTGCTGGCTTCGAGGCTGGAGCCATGGAGTTGGCTGTATGGGATCCAGCCACCTTAACCACTATGCCACCAGCTAGCCCCAGACACTTTTTATATTTTATAAAGAATATATTCAGTTTTTGACATTTGTAGATGAGAGACAAGCAGCAAAAGGACGAATCAGTGAGTGAATAGTCTCAGATCAAGGAGGCATTTATGTGCTCAAGGAAAACATGTTAGGACCATGGCAGAATGAAGCATGGAGTGAAGCTATGATTGTTGGAACCTAATTGTAAATGAAACTAAATGGATATACTTATATAATAACATGATAGTTTCTGAACCTAGAAACATTGTTCTGTAAGACCTGGCCCACACTGTACTGAAAATTCAGGCCCAGAGCAATAGGTTCAGGTTGCAGAGAACTGAAACTAGAATTCCATCCCTTCACTCATAGCTGTTCTGTGCTTTTTCTGGAAAGGATTCTCCAGGAACTTTTTTTTTTTTTTTCCCAAAGATCTCCAGGAACTTCTTTGAGTTAGGCTCTCTAATATCAAAAGATTATTATGACATCTTTATGACACTTTTGATGTGATATTACTCATACAGTGGAAAACTCTTTTTTTTTTTTTTTTTTACTAAGTTTGGCTTTTTCAGAGTATATCCAGTTAATAAAATACTCTATTTAGTGGTGATTATGGTTATTTATATGTGCGTATAGGATACATAGAATTTTATTCCTGAGAGTTTTGCCATATGGTTTATGCACTCACCAGAGAGAGACAGAGGGAGAGAAGAAGTGTGAATTCACCCCCCAGGAAGGATGACCACACTGCAATCCATTCTCCATTCTCCTCTTAGGGTTTCGGGCACAAACACACACGTACGCAGCATGTTTTACAAGCTGTCAGGTATGGAACTCGAACCGTGGAGCTGGCCGTGTGGGATCCAGTGTTCTATCCACTTTGTTACCGGTCTAGGTTTTTATTTCTGATCAGTTTTAAAAAATCAGCACTCAGTATTGTACATTCAACACTGATGCTACATGATTTCAATCTTAATTCAGGAAGCATTCTAGTAGCTTATGATAATACAATTTTATAGATCCAGTGACTTGGAGTCATTCACTTATTCATTAAATCAAATAGTATGGTCCAGGCATTTGTTGTAGGGTCTGTACACTTAATGGTTTCAACCAACATGTAGTTTATGTTCAAGCAGCGATTGTAGGCTGTAATTGGACGTATAATGAGGGCCCCTGAATGGTATCCACAACAGGAGGGGATGGTGGTGCCAATGTGTAAGGGAAGGAATGGCAGTTCATGAAAGGGAGCCTAACCTGAGCTGGGCAGACCTGACACAGTGGTAAGTTCTGATTTCTAGTTCATTGTGATTATGATATTTTATATCACTTGATATCAAATATATCTTTATATAAGTTGATCAAAGAAATAGGTTAAGGTTGTTTTTTAACTCTTATAGGGGGATAATGGCTATGCTGCTGGACTCCCATGTGGTTGACCACGGTTTGAGTCCTGGGCCTGGTGTCTTAAATTCATGCCGGGCGCATGTGTGTGCATGCCCAAGATACCTAGAGGAGAATAGAGGAGAAGGGATTACAGTGTACCCATCCCTCCGTGGTTGATTTCTTGCTTCCTGTTTCTTTCTGGAAAGCTCACATGCCCTATAGCAGAAACCTCTCAGAAAAAAGAGTTTTGTTATGTGGAGCAGACCTCACTGTTAAAGGAGCTGCATCCTCCATGACCAGCCATGGTTCAGGTCACGGCTCCAGCACTGCAGCTTGTGGGACATGCAGAGTGAATGGATGTGCTTGCCTTAAGTCTTGATAGGATGTAGAGGTGGTAGAGGAAGGGGAATTTTCAGTGTGGCCAAACCCATTTAGGAGTGCTTTCTCTCTTTCTCATGGGTGAGTGTGCACTTTGGGAAAAAAAAAAAAAATACATGTTGTGTGTACTTTCCTCCTACCTTCTGTTTCCTCCTACCTTCTGTTTGCTAATGTTTAATCACAATGTTTCGTTTTGTCCTTAAAGAGGTTTTTCCCTAGGGCACATGTGCTTTCCTGAGAGAAAGAGAAACAGAGAGAGGGAATGTGAGAAATCACCCCCTGGGGGAATGGCCACACCGTAATCCCTTCTCCTCCATTCTCATGGAATCTTGGGCATGCATGCACAGGCACGCAGCTTAATTTTTCAGGTTATACTCGAACCTCAGTTGGCCATATGGAAGTTGTGCAATGTAACTACTTCGCCAACTTCTGGCCCCATACAAGTTTTGTTTGTGATTGTTTTGTTTTGGTCAGAGAACAAGTGCAAATTGCCAGAGAAATGGAGAATGGGGAGAGGGAATAAGCATCCTTCAATGGGGGCTAGCCATAACCACAATCCCTTCTCCTCCATTTCTCCATACTGTCAGGATTTGGGGCCCACATGCCCAGCATGGTTTTTCAAGCCACTGTGGCTGGTATGCAGACCGCGTTAGCCATGTGGGATTTGTCTTCCTTAACCACTAGGCCACAGGATCAGCCTTACCTTTCTTTCTTAATTTTCTCTTGACTAGAAATTTTATTATTGAGAAAATGTGCATTTAAGTCATTTAAAAATACAGAACTACAATTTTGGATTGTTTTTGATAGAATCCTCAGACCTTGCAATTAATATCGAAAAAGAAGTCACTGGCTGGAGCCGCACAAATCCTGCAAAAAAAAGAAGGTGGCAGAAAGACTGACTAAATCAGTCACGGAAAATCAAGAGAACAAGCTACAAAGAGACTTCAACTCGGAGCTTTTGAGATTAAGACAACACTGGAAACTTAGAAAGGTTGGAGATAAAATCCTTGGAGATCTGAGCTACAGAAGTGCAGGTACAGATAATTGTTAAAAATTATGCTTTTGGGGGGCCAGCAGGTGGTGTGGTATTTACAGCATTGAACTCCCACGTGGTTGACCACGGTTCAAGTCCTGGACTTGGCAACTTGTTTCTCACTTTCCCTCTCTCTCTGTCTCTCCCTGGCGAATTAAAAAATAGTAATAATGTTAATGTTAAATAATATTAATATTAATAATAATATTAGTGTTAAATAAAATTAAGTAATTATTTTTTAAAATTATGTTTTTTGTATAAATACATAAAGTTGATTATAATGCTACAGTTTTTTTTTTCTTTCTTTTTTCTTTTTTTGAGAGGTTTTTGCTATAGGGTATGTGCACTCACCAGAAAGACAGAGAGAGACAGAAAGACAGAAAATGAGAAATCATCCCCCAGGGTGATGGCCTTGCCACAATCCCTTCTCCTCCATTATGTTCTCTGGATTTTGGGCACATAACGCACACACACACAGCATGAGTTTAAGCTACTGGCTCAGGGACTCAAACCATGGTCAGCTACTTGGGAGTCTAGCGACATAGCCATTATGCCATCAGCTGGTCCCACTACACATTCTTTATTTCTCAGCTGCATGTCACATTTCAGACTTTTCATTTTGTTTATTTAATTTTTAAAATTTCTGTACATATAAGCCGAAAGTACTCTTATCATACATATCCTACTAATAAATTGCCTAGCTTAAATTTGAAAACCTTTTAGGTATATATTTTTTTAGTAATTATTTATTTAATTTTATTTATTCATTCATTTTAATTTGGCCAGAGGGAGAGAGTGAGACAGGGGAAATTAGAAAGAAAGCCACCAGGTCCGGTACTTGAACCGTGGTTAGCCACATGGGAGTGTCCAGTGCCTTAACCACCGTGCCACCTGCTGATACCCTGTTTTAGGTACATTTAACAGAAAGTCCAAAGATGGAGATTTAAGTACTAATACACCATAAATCATAATTAACATTTTATAGATTTATTCCATTAGTGAAAGAGATAGATATAGAGATAGAGTACCTCTGATAGGTCTTGATGCCACAGTCCAACCTTTGGCTCACCAGCCCACATCATGGGCACATGTGTGCCTGGTGTACTCCGGGAGGGCTCAGGACACGAACTGGTAACTTTTCCATATGGGTTTGCCTCATAGAACATCATGTTTTACTGCTACACTGCCATCCAGCCCCATAATGAATGTTTTAATTAGAATTAAGGAGGTAAGACTAGACTCCTTAATCAGAGCCTTACCTATAACCCTTGAAAATGGGTATAAACCGGGTATAGCGGCATGTGCTTATAACCCCAGCTATGTGGGAAGCTAAGACAGGGGGATTCCAAGTTTAAGGCCAGCCTTGGTAGCATAGGAAAACTCTGTCCCTTTTTAAAACAAAAGAACACAACAAACTGGGCATGAAAATGAAAAGAAATGTTTCTATACTTAACTCTTTTCCTCCTTTTAGTTCGTTAAGCTGTTTCACATCCTGGGTGAAAAGGAAGGATAGTGAAAACATTGGGACCAGCAGGTAGGACAGAGGCTAAGGTGGCTTGGTCCCACATGGCTGCGTGCAAAGTTCGAGTCCCAGGTCCAGCTGCTTGAAAAACATTCTGGGGATGTGTGTGTGCCCACAAAATCTAAAGAGGACATTGGAGCAGAAGGGATTGTAGTGTGGCCATCTGCCCTGGGAGGTGCATTCTCTTGTACTCTCTCTCTTGGCAAGCACATTTGCCTATAGCAAATTGCTATCTCTCTAACCAAAAAAAGGGTGTCTATAGAAGCAGTATTTTCTTTATCTTTTTTTTTTTTTTTTTTAGAATTATTTATCTTATTTATTATTATTTTCACATGAGTTCACAAGAGAGAGAGGGGGAAAGTGAGAATCTACCAGGTCTGGGACTTGAACTGTGGACAGCCATGGGGGAAGTCTAGCCTTAATCACTGTGCCATCTGTTGGCCCAAAAAAGCAGTACTTTCTGGTTTGGGACATTGTAATTTTTTTCAAGCAAGCTATTATATACAAGTATTTGCCTCATTTCTCTCTTCAGGACAGTTGGTCATGATTATGAAAGGATTCAATTATGTTGCTTTTAATTGCAGTAAGATCTTGAACCTTTCCCCTGTTATACAGCAGCAGTTGTATTTAACCACCCAAACCTCACATTTTTCAGCAGTTTAGAACAATTTACCCAAACACTGGACTGCACAAGAACACATCACAAAAAAGTCTTAGGAACTGGTTGAAAAAGGGTGCTGTGCTTTGATAGGCTTTTCTCTTGCTGGATTCAGAACACTTTAAATTCAACTTTATTGCTAAGGCTGAACTCCAGAAATATTACACATCTAAATTTTCAATGTGAGAAATTCTTTTATAGAATTACATCTATTTTGTCAAAACTGCAATTGGAATAAACCAATTTGGGTGATGTGGTGGTTAAGACACTGAGTGCCACATGGCTAACTATAGTTCGAGTCCCGGATCTGGAGGCTTGATTTCTTACTTTCCCTCTCTTTCTTTCTCTGATCAAATTGCAAAATAATAATAATAATAATAATAATAATAATAATAATAATAATAAATATAATAATAATAATAATAATAATAATAATAATAATAATAATAATAATAATAATAATAATAATAATAATAATAATAATAATAATAATAATAATAAAGCAAATAAATAAATAAATAAATAAATAAATAAATAAATAAATAAAAATTCTTAAAAATATTTGGTGGTCTGTGGGGTTCATTTTATGATTCCATTAGATAAAGTGGTATTTACTTATCTCTTACAAGTAATTTTTTTCTTCTGCTTTCTTTCTTCCCTTTGCTCACCACTTCTCTCCTCCAACCCCCAGACATGTTTTCAGTGGGAATTTAATTTAATGATTCAGTTATATAGATGGGTTTATACTTAATAATGTATGATAAATCATATATTGACGTGTTTATTTTCCTACTCTTAAACTCCATTAGGATCTCTCTTTCCACATCATGGTACATTTGAAGTAATAAAGAATACAGATATTGATTTGGATAAAAAGATACCTGAAGACTACTGTCCTCTCGATGTCCAGATTCCTAGTGATTTAGAGGGATCTGCATATATCAAGGTATTTGTTAAAGTATTTTTCAAGTAATTTTTTGTTAATCGCTCGGAAGCCCATTTGCTAATATGGTTTTATTGTGATTCAGGTTTCAATTCAAAAACAGGCTCCAGATATAGGTGATCTCGGCACAGTTAACCTCTTCAGACGACCTCTGCCCAAATCTAAACCAGGTAAAATTATGTTCTATTCTCTGCCTTGTGGTTTTACCTGAGTTTACATTTGTATATAAACTGAGGATAAATTTAAATAGGAGAGGGACCAGCAGGTGGCATAATGGTTACATCACTGAACTCCCATGTAGTTGACCATAGTTAAACCATAGTTCCAACCTAGTGACTTGGAACTCAGGTTGAGTGTGCGTGCGCATGCATGCTTACCCAAAATCCCAGGAGGGGAATGGAGGAGAAGGGACTGCAGCGTGGCCATCTCCCCTGGGAAGTGATTTCTCACTTTCTGTCTCTCTGACTTTATCTGTCTCTCCAGCGAGCGCATGTACCCTATACCAAAACTATCAAAAAAAAAATAAAATACAGATAGGAGAAATAGGTGTCTTAGAATAAGAACAATTGGAAATGTACATTTAATAATTTGTTAATAGAGTATTAGTGAATTACTATGCAATTTTTTTTTTTTTTTAACTTCCCAGCAGGTACATTTGCTCATCTGAGAGCGAATGAGAAAGCAATCTCCATGAAGCATGGTCACACTGTAATCCCTTCTCTTTCACTTCTTTTCTTTCTTTTTTTTCTTTTACTTTTTTTTTTTGAGAGGTTTTTACTATAGGATATGTACGCTTGCCAGAAAGACAGAGAGAGACAGAGAGACAGAAAGCAAGAAATCACCCCCCAGGGGGAATGGCCACGCTGCAATTTCTTCTCCTCTTGGGATCTTGGACACACAAGACTCCAGCGACAGCCATTATGCCAAATGCTGGTCCTCCCCACCCTTTTTTTTTTTAAGATTTTTGGGCACACATGCCCAGCATATGTTTCAAGCCTCTGGGTCCAGGACTCAAACTGCTATTGGTCATGTGAGACCCAGCTGTCTTAACCACTACACTACTGGCTGGTGTACAATTTTATTTTAAAATTGAACTTTTTTTCTTTTTTCTTTTTTTAGAGAGGCTTTTGCTATAGGGCACATGCGCTTGCCAGAAAGACAGAGAGAGACAGAGTGAAAGAAAGCGAGAAATCACCCCCCAGGGGGATGGCCACGCCGCAATCCCTTTTCCTCCATTCTCCTCTCAGGATCTTGGGCATGCAAACACATGCGCCCGGGTGTAAGTTTAAGCCGCTGGGCCTGCGACTTGAACTGCTGTCGACTGCAAGGGAGAACAGCGACATAGCCATTATGCTAACTGCTGGTCCCCAAATTGAACTTTTTAACTATTTTTCTCTGTGTAAAAGAAGTAAGACTTTTGTGTTTGGACAGAATATGCTGTAATGTAGAGTTTTCTGTACTTACGTTATACGTGTTCTCATCACCATTTAAGCTAGTAAATGTATAATGTGATTAGATAATTGATACATACATATATCCCTTGTCTTTCAGGTTCCCCACATTGGCAGACAAAATTAGAAGCAGCCCAGAACGTTCTCTTGTGTAAAGAAATTTTTGCACAACTCTCTCGGGAGGCTGTTCAAATTAAGTCACAGATTCCTCACATTGTAGTGAAAAACCAGATTATCTCTCAGCCCTTTCCAAGTAAGAACACACAACTCTTCTGAGATTCATAAGCACGACTTTATGGTTTGGGAAATAGGACAAAGTGGATAGCTGTTTGGGTATGTTGGGAGAACACTGACAGCAGCCACCATAGTGTGTAACACAAACACTTGCGGTTCTGTTCTGTGTCCTTAAGACTATAACTCCTAGATTTTGAAATAGTTTATGTTAAAAATTTGCATTAGCATCGCTACTGTTCAGCACTAGTTGCTTTGAAATGTTAACACGGCAAGGTTTTTCAGGGATCCTGCTTTATCTAAATAAGGTGGCAAAAAACTGTCCTGACGTGAAAACTGGATTATATTCATCAAAAGTGGTGGATTTACCCTGGAGATCAGTTTATAGGTAGCCCATGTACTTGATTTTTACCTAAATTCTAAAGACTGTCTTGTCAAAGGCATAGGTTTTAGAAGTGGAATGCTATCTCAGTTCTCTTGGCAGCAAGAATATCTGTCTTCTGCTCAGTAAGCCCACATACCAACTCTGGTTTTTCAGAAAGTCATGTCTTTAAATTTAATCTTTATTTAAAGTTTTCATTTTAAAGTCAATAAGAAATAAATATGTAGCTCTGTTCACCTACTTTGAGCCCCTGCTTGAGGTCAGCAGCCATAGTATAGGTAAGTAGAATTTGAATTATTGGGACCAGCAGATGGTGTAACCAGATGGTGTAATGCTTATGTCGCTGGACTACCATGTAGTTAATCGCAGTTCAGGTTCAAGTCCTGGACCTGGTAGCTTAAAACTCATACCAGGCATGTGTGTGTGCATATCCAAAATCCTAAGAGGAGAATGGAAGAGAAGGAAATGCAATGTGGCCATCCCCACTGGGTGTGAATTTTTACTTTCTGTCTCTCTGTCTCTCTCTCCCTCTTCAGTGAGCACACACACTCTCTAGCAAAAATCTCTTTAAAAAAATAATAATTTGGTTTGTTAAAAGTACAGGGGTACTTTATTCATGAATGGTCATTTTGGTATAAAAATGTTAACCAGGGTGCATGACCTTTAAGTTCAGAATGTATCTTTTAAGAATGGGCTGTGATTATACTTTATGAAAATACTGTCCATATTTTAGGTTATTTTCATCTGTCCTTTTTATAGACTTACAGCTATCTATATCTTTGTGCCATTCCTCAAATGATAAGAAATCCCAAAAATCTGCTACTGAGAAGCAAAGTCCAGAGGACCACCTTTATGTCCTAGAGCATAATTTGCATCTCCTGATTAGAGAGGTAATGAAATTATTGTTTTTCTTTGCATGATGGAGAGCATGTCTAAGGCAGTGGATATGCACACACCTCCCTTCTGTCTGCTGTGGAAAGTCTTTGCTGTGTGCTCTGGGAATACAGAGATAACCAGAATTCAGACCCTGCTCCCAAGCATATCTTCTAGTGATAGAAGTGCACAAGTTTTATAGTAGAGGTGTAAGACATATGTGCTAAAAGAAAGAAAGACGGACAGGCAGGCAAACAGACAGACATGCTAATGGGGACAGAGAAAAGGGTGACTGTGTAGCTGAGTGGGAAGGATAATGGAAAACATCTTGTTAGAGCCTGTGAAAGGGATAGTTACTTCAGGACACACGGATTCTCCTCACAGGTCGTCTAGGCCTGAGTTTCTAGAGTGCTCATTCACAGTTTAGGCTAATTACAGAATTCCCCTCAGAAACTTCATGGACATACATAATCCACCCTTCTCTGCCACTCTCCAAAATCTGGTTCCATCTATTATAATGGTGCAAGAATCAATTCTTTTTCATTTTACTGTTTATTTTTTAATTTGCTATAGGGGGTGTTCACTCACCAGAGACAGACAGAGAAAGAGAGCAAAAATGAGAAAGCTAACTACCAGGTCTAAGACGTGAGCTATGGTTGGCCATGTGGAAATTCAGCGCCTTAACTGACACGCCACCTGCCGGCCCAAGAATCAGTATATTTAAAAGTTTCTTGGGGTGTTCTGAAGGGCAGCCAGACACTCTCTAGTCTAGGACTTAGAATACCTTGTCTTCTGACTACCATTATTCTGTTTATGTGGCTCTATGGAGATGATTTCTTTTCATATTTAAAAACCTTTAAAGTAACATCCGTAGCTTGAGAGGGACCCTTCCCTTTACAGACTCACTTGATGTATGACTTCGCAGATACTAGCATTTACTTCTGTGTTAATTTTGCCTTTATATGCAGTTCACATACATTGCTTTCATGTTTCCAAATGCTAGGCAGGCTTTGATTGAATGTTGTGTAGTATCACTATGTGGGTATTGGTCATTTAAATGGCTGTTTTTGTTACAGTTTCATAAACAGACCTTGAGTTCCGTAATGATGCCTCATCCAGCAAGTGCACCTTTTGGCCACAAGAGAATGAGACTTTCGGGTCCTCAAGCTTTTGATAAAAATGAAATTAATTCATTACAGTCCACTGAAGGGCTTCTGGAAAAAATAATTAAACAAGCAAAACATATTTTTCTGAGGAGTAGGTAAGGACAAGCAAAGTTAACTATTTTTCTTTGAAATTGTATTCTTTTTTCTTTATTAGTTATGCCATTAGTAATTTTTTGATTCTTTAGCCTTCTTTCCTAGGAGAGAAAGGTGGCTGCAGTGTAAGAGTGTGCAGTACAATAGGCGATCTCACGTGTGCTGTCCAGTTTGGGAAAGACATGGACTATGACTAGTCCAACTTAATCTACCGTTTCTAACGCAGGCACTAAACCGTTACAATGATAACTGACTAGGAGTTTGCCTTAGAACACCATACTTTCCTCTCTAACTCACCTGTCTATGCAGTAGTTATTCCTGAGCGGATATACTTTTTTTTTTTTAAGATTTTTATATTTTTTGGTTGCATGTTTTTTTGAGAGGTTTTCACTATAGGGTGTGTGCGCTCGCCAGACAGACAGAGAGACATAGAGACAGAAAGCGAGAAATCACCCCCCAGGGGGGATGGTCACGCCGCAATCCCTTCTCCTCCAATCTCCTCTCGGGATCTTGGGCGCACCCGCACACACACGAGCCCGGCGTGAGTTCTAAGCCACTGGGTCTGGGATGCGGACCGCAATCGACTATGTGGGAATTCAGCGACATAGCCATTACGCTAACTGCTGGTTCCCCGTGTTTTAAGATTTGGAAGGGACTTTTCATTTACTAACTTATGAGGTGAATAGCATTAACCCCATTTTTACTAATGAGAGAGTTGACAATAGAAGTAATGAAACTTGATTGAGAATACAAAGCTAAAAAGTTAGCTAAACCAGGATTTATGCCCAGGTCTGTATAACTCCAAAGCTCATTTTCTTTTTATACATATTGTTTACAAAGAAAACTTGGCATAATTGGATATAACTGTATCTTTTAAAAATGCTAACATATGGGGATGAGCAGATGGCCGAATGGTTTTGTTCCTGGGCTCCCACATATTCGACCATGGTTTAAGTCCCAGACCTGATGACTTAAAATTCGTGCCAGTATATGTGCATGTGTGCCCAAGATCTTGAGAGGAGAGTGAAGGAGAAGGGATCCTCCCAGGGGGTGATTTTTCACTTTCTGTCTCTCTCTAAAAGCAAATGTTAAAGTATGCTTTATTATTATTATTATTACTATTATTATTATTATTATTATTGGTCCTTGGTAAAGAGGTCTGTTTTTACTTTACCCATAATTATGTCTTGAGAGTACTCCAGAATTTCAGGTAAGGGCCCACCATCATTCAATAGAAGACTTGATTATTTATTTATTTATTTATTTTTTGAGAGGATTTTGCTGTAGGGCACGTGCGCTCACCAGACAGACAGAGAGAGACATAGAAACAGAAAGTGAGAAATCACCCCCCAGGGGGGATGGCCATGCCACAGTCCCCTCTCCTCCATTTTCCTCTCGGGATCTTGGGCACGCACGCACACATACCTGGCATGAGTTTTAATTCCTGGGTCTGGGACATAAACCGCGGTCAACTACATGGGAATCCAGTGACATAGCCATTACGCCAACTGCTGGTCCTGATTTTTTGTTTTTTATTTACAGTTTTTTCTTAATTAATGTAGTCATGGTTTTACCAGCACATTAGTGTGTGGTCGTAAAATGGAAATATGGGCCCTTCAATTTTTAGTAAAATAACCTGTCAGCAGAAACATATGTATGGTGGAAGAAATAGGAATTTAAGGTGAAAAGTAGCTTTTAAGGCAGTTTTCAACTGCTTGTTAATTAATTCTGGGCGAGTCACTTACAATCCATGCCCCTCCATTTATTCGTATGTTAGTGGTACATAAAGCAGTTGTTCTTAGAGTCAAATTAAATAATGGACATAGAAGTTCTTTATCCACATTTAAAACATCATATGGTAAGTTATTGTTATTTGCCATTTATTCATTTCAGTTTTCAAAGCTGTAAATTTGTGTGTATTACTCTTTTTTTTTTAATAATTATTCATTTTATTTTTTATTTATTCATTCACTTATTTTTTAATTTGACCAGAGAGAGACAGAGGGTGAGAGTGAGAGAGAGAGGAAGGGAGAAACCAAGCCACCAGATTCAGGACTCGAACCCTGGTCGGCCATGTGGGAGTGTCCAGTGCCTTAACCACCATGCCACCTGCTGGTCCCCATGTGTATTACTCTTGAAAAAAAAATTTTTTTTTTGGAGAGGCTTTTTCCATAGGGCGCGTATGCTAGCTAGCCAGACAGAGAGAGACAGAGAGACAGAAAGCTAGAAATCACCCCCCCCCAGGGGGGATGGCCACGCCGCAGTCCCTTCTTCTTCATTCTCCTCTCAGGATCTTGGGCACGCACACACACGCGCCTGATGTGAGTTTTAAGCCACCGGGTCCAGGACGCGAACTGCAGTCAACTACCTGGGAGTCCAGCAACATAGCCATTACGCTAACTGCTGGTCCCACTCTTGAAACTTTTTAAATGACCCTTTAAAGTTTAATATTCCCTGGAAAAAATAAGGGACATAGAAATAGCTATGTTTAGAACGACTGTGATTTCACAGTAGTAAATAAATTTAGTCTTGGAAAACGCAGAGTTTTAGAAGTGTTATTTCCCCCCCTAGTTAATAGAAATAATATTCCAGTGTGAAAAAGTATAATGAAGACACAATTCACGTGTTTAATACTATATAAAGTGAGATCTATTAACACACTAATGTAATTTCAGGTGTGTGTGTGTGTGTGTGTGTGTGTGTTTTAAAAATATTAATTTTATTATTTTTTAACTTGACAGGAGAGCGACAGAGAAAGGGAAGTGAGAAAGCAAACCATCAGGTCTGGGACTTGAACCATGATTGGCCATGTGGGAGTCCAGCACCTTTACCACCACAACACCTGCAGGCCCCCCTTTGTTTTTTTTTTCTTTTTAACAAATCAGGGATCATGAATTATACGTTTTTTTGTTTTTTTTTTTTTTTGAGAGGTTTTTGCTATAGGGTGTGTATGCTTGCCAGAAAGACAGAGAAGACAGAGAGACAGAAAGCGAGAAATCACCCACCCCAGGGGAGATGGCCACACCACAGTCCCTTCTCCTCTAGGGATCTTGGGCACACAGGTACACACGCTTGGTATGAGTTCAGGCCGCCAGGTCTAGGATTCAAACCGCAATCAACTACATGGGAATCCAGTGACATAGCCATTTCAACATCTGCTGGTCCCCGAAATATACATTTTTTTTAAAGTTTGTTTCTTCCATGAACAATAGAGTACCTCCAAAGGGGTCTGTCTGTCTTTTTTTTTTTTTTTAAGAATTATTTAATTTTTAAAAAATTTGTTTATTTAATTCTATTTGTTTTTACTATTACTATTTAATTTGACCAGACAAAGAGAGAGAGAAAAGGAAAGTGAGAGAGCATGCCATCAGGTCCGGGACTAGAACTGTGGTCGGCCATGTGGGAATCCAGCACCCTTAACCACCATGCCACATGCTGGCCCCAATTATTATTTAATTTTATTTATTATTATAATTATTTATTTGACCAGGTAGGGAGAGAGAGAGAAAGTAAGAAAGCAAGCCCCAGGTCTAGAATTCAAACTGCAGTTGGCCATTTGGGGGTCCGGCACCCTAACCACCACTCCACCTGCTACCCATCTGGTGGGGTCTTAATGCCACAGTTCACCCCAAGCTTCATCCATCCTAGGGTCATAAGCACATGCATGCCTGGCACACTCAGGGATGTTTCCGGTTCCAAGCTCAGAACCTTTCCACGTGGGTCAGCTTCAAATTTGCAGAGCATCACATTTTACTGCTGGGACACTGTCTGGCCCTGTTTCCAGTTACTGATACATGTAATGTTGAGTAGAAGAGTCTCAGACACCCATCTAGGAATTTAGGAAGACTGTAAAAAGAAGCAAATCACAGAAAAAGAAAAAAAAAATAATTTAAGAATGGATTATGGGGCCGGCAGGGGTGTGGTGGTTGAGATGCTGGACTCCCACATGGCTGACCACAGTTCAAGTCCCAAAGCTGGTAGCTTGTTTTCCTATTTACTTGTTCTCTTGTTTGCTCTCTCTCTTTCTCTCTCTCTTATCTCTCTCTCATGAGCACATGTGCCCTAAAGCAAATTTAAAAATAATAGTAAATAAAATTAAATAATTTTTTAAAAAGGAAAATAATGGATTGTAAGAAAGCAGTACTAGGACAGCAGTGTGTAAGAGCAAATCGAAGCCTATTTATATAGAAGCCCCTTGTCGACAGTGGCCATGCTCATTTCTTCCCATTTTCTCCAGGCTTTTCCTTTTCTTTCTAGTAAAATACTAGAATCAGATAATTAGAAACTAATATTCTATCTAAGTACTCCATATTGCAAATGAAAGTACTACCTGTTGTCAGTTTCTACTACACTGATTAGTGCATATAAGAAATAAAGGAGAGGGACCAGCAGTTGGCGTAATGGCTACGTCGCTGGACTCCCATGTAGTCGATCGCGGTTTGAGTCCCAGACCCGGTGGTTTAAAACTCACACTGGGCACGTGTGTGCGCATGCCCAAGATCTCGGGAGGAGAATGGAGGAGAAGGGATTGCAGTGTGGCCATCCCCCCGGGCGGTGATTTCTCACTTTCTGTCTCTATCTGGCAAGCGCACGTGCCCTATAGCGAAAAACCTCTCAAAAAAAAAAAAAGGAGATGTTTGCCTGTCCGGTCCTGACCCTGTGGCTCTCCTAGTGCTGCCCTGTAGGCTCTGGAGTTGGATTTGTGTCTCTGAAGCTAATGTGTCACATTTTCGGCAAGACAATCTAGGATCAAACCACAGCAGTCCTGTCAGGATTCCATGCCATTCGTCTTCTCTGAACTATTTCCAGGTGTCTCTTACAGGTTTCCAAGAGCAAGAAGAAACTCAAATCTCCAAAACCTGTAGGCCATTTTCCTCACCAGTTCCACCATTCTGCATTCC